GAGTGTGGCAGGGAGGGAGGGAGGGAAGGAGTGAGTGTGGCAGGGAGGGAGGGAGTGAGTGTGGCAGGGAGGGAGGGAGTGAGTGTGGCAGGGAGGAGGAGGGAGGGAGTGAGTGTGGCAGGGAGGGAGGAGGGAGGGAGTGAGTGTGGCAGTGAGGGAGGGAGTGAGTGTGGCAGTGAGGGAGGGAGTGAGTGTGGCAGGGAGGGAGGGAGGGAGTGAGTGTGGCAGGGAGGGAGGGAGGGAGGGAGTGAGTGTGGCAGTGAGGGAGGGAGTGAGTGTGGCAGGGAGGGAGGGAGGGAGGGAGGGGGTTGGAGCTGGATTGCCAGCTGAGCGGCTGATCAGTGTGGACAGCTCCCTGTAGGGGTCTCCACGCCCATTCCCATCTGATGGCAGGAGAAAGGAAAGTGGGAGGAGAATTCCCTCAATCCACGGACTCTGAACTCCATCCCCCCTTTTTCTCAGTATAACTTTTCCCTTCTCCAGTGTTCACTGTGTCACCAGCGGCCGCTCGGGGCAGATCTATTGGCTCTGAGTTAAATCAAAGCCTGGGGTCCCACAGCAGCAGTTTGCATCGGTTTTCAGGAAGATTTCCTGCTTCAGCTCAGGCTTCCTCACGGCTGTTCGGTTCCGGGACATCTTTGCACAGATTGCTCCCTTTAAATCAAGACTGGACAGCGGTGGATTTATTGCTGAAGGCTTTTCTTCTCGGTTGCAATGTGTCCCGATGAAGGGAGCTGGGTTCCTCTCCTGCATGCTTCAGACCCAGTGTGTGTGTGAACTGATATGAGAGCAGACAGACATAAATCGGGACCATGTCTGTTAAGAAAACCAAACGTGTAAGTAGTGGATTATTGCTTTAAAGCGGCTGATGTAGATGTTTTTGAGCAAAGGTTTGACAGGCTATGAAAACACATTGTGCCTTTCTTTAGCACCGTATCCCACTCTCACCCCCAGGAAAAGCTATTCCTCCCCTTATGTCTATTGTTGGGGAAACTAGAGCCTGTTGCAGTAAAGTTTTTGTCTGATGGTAAAGTAAAGCAACATCTACAGACTCACTGGAATTGTTTCCAACTTTTTAAGAAAAAAAAGTGACGATAGAATTTTTTAAAATATATCTCATATGCAGTATTTTGCATATTTTTATATATTTTGGTATATTTTCACCCACAAAATCTACAGTCAATTCACTTTGCCGTACATTCTGTGAAGCGCTTTGAGACGTCTCAACAAAGTGATAAAGTACTATATCAGATGCAAGGATTATTATTAGTATTTTGTAGTTTTGTATTTGTTTTTCTCTGCCTCCTGTGAACTCCAGCACACATGCTCAGTCAACTTTCTTTCCCAGAGTATCATGCGTGTTATTGTTTTTGTGTGAGGTATTGGTTTCTCTCTGGAGACAAGACAGGCTGTATTTATTTGTGTGCAGATTAATATGAATGCATTGGTGTTCCTTGCAATGAGCAGTGTGCTGTCTGACAGATGAATATCTCAACCAAACTCTCAGTCCAGCCTCTCTCCTATGTTATTTGCAGGTTCCCATTAAGAACATCGAGCGGGAACTGATCTGCCCATCATGTAAGGAGCTCTTTACCCACCCCCTGATCTTGCCTTGCCAGCACAGCGTCTGTCACAAATGCGCCAAAGAGCTCCTGCTGTCCCGGGAGGATGCATTCGGCGAAACAGACTCAGAGTTTTCCAATCCGTCTACTCCCATCAGCAGTCCCCGAGCTCGCCGCCTCTCCTCGGCCAGTGTCGAGAGGCTTGATAGGCTCAACAGGACAGGTAAGCCACAGCTTCTGGCCCTGCTTTACAGTACGCGAGAGCATCTGACAAGTTGTTATAGAAAGAAAGGCAGCAGCGCTCTTTGCTTAAGTGGGTTCTTTAGTGGGATAAATAGCAACATTCATTTTCTCGGCAAGTATATATAGAATCATACAGCAAAGGAGGAGGTCATTCGGCCCATCGCGCCTGTGCCGGCTCTTTGAAGTAGCTATCCAACTAGTCCCACGCCCCCGCTCTTACCCCAAAACCCTGCAAACATCTTTGCTACAAGTAATACTGTATCGGAGATACCAAAAATGAAGTTTACGTGTTCACCATTAGAGAAGTCAGTTTCTAAACTAATACACACTTGAAGAAGGGATTGATGTATATCAGCAGTCACCAGGTCACACAATCAGGTGTGATATTAGTACAAAGGTATGCTGAAACAGGCTGATCCATTGACTTGCTTTTTGATGTTGTAATTCATCAGACTTGTCGATATGCAATTCACTGAGTCTGGCCAAATAGATGATACACAGTACATTGCAGACGTACAATCACAATGTTTCAATATGTTCATGTTTATCAAATTACATCTTTGCTGTTTACTAAATTTCAAACTTTTATTGAATATCTTCTCAGCATTGTATAATATTGAGCCATACTCTTTCCTCAATTCAACTTTTCAGGGGCTTAATACTTAATATGATCCAATAAATAGTAACAAATAATACGTTTTTGAGATATCTGACTTTCTAGTTTAATTTCACTGTGTGGTTTGTTAAAGAGAGTCACCGTTATCATAACTTTTATTACAGTTTTAGAAGCCACACTGATTTTAATTGAAATCACAGCTATGGCTGTGGTGGGTGTATGAGTGACTGGCATGTGCCTCTTTTCAAATTTGAGACTGATAAAGTTCCTATTGATCTTGACAGAAGTGCACAGCAGCCCAGTCAGCATCTGAAAGAGAAAATGTCGCTGTCCAGTTCTGATGAGTGTTAAACAATCTCCTTCAGATGCTGACAGATCTGCTGTGCGTTTCTGGATTTTGTTTTGGATTTCGGGCATTCTCATTTTATAATGTATCATCTCTCCCATTGCCTTTGTTTCTAACAGGGTGAGAAATAACTGGTACTTACTCTGAGTTTAGCTTGTCTGCTGGTCCACCTCCGCAGCCCGCCCACCCGCCCGCCACCATGTCCTTGTGTAGTTGGGGACCTCTCACCACATCTGCTGCCTGAAGCCTCTTGTGCTTTCACAGGCCACTGCTGGAGGCTGAGTGATCAGTGTTGATGGGAGACATACAATGTTTACATACACACACATAGAGGTGGCTGGGTAGAAATTCCACTTGGGTCTAGATTTATTCTATTAATTTCACATTTCATTTGACAAATTCATAAAATCATACAGCACAAAAAGAGGCCATTTGGCCCATCGAGACTGTGACGGCTCTTTGAAAAGAGCAATGTAATGTCAATCCCACTCCCCAGCACTTTCCCCATAACCCTGGAAATCCGTCCTCCTCAAATCCACCGCGTTTTTAAAAGTTGTTGAATCCAGTTTTATCTTTAAAACTCATTTTCTGTAGTTCTTAAAAGAACCTTTGGTGAAGGTGGAGTTCATTGTAGCTTTCAAGAGGGAAGTAGACGGGCATATTAAAGAGAGAGCTTGAAGGGGTACAGGGATTAGATGGGGTGGTGGGATCGAAGCAATATCCTTGCTTTATGAGCTGGTGCTTGCTTGATGGGCCGAATGGCTTCCTTCTGTGCTGTAAATTTCTATGTTTCTAACCTACAGAAAACTGGCTGTAAAATTAAAGATTGTAGTTAAGAATTTAACAAGTTCTGGATGCTGTGAAATGCCACATTAATAGAGTAACCCAGGTGGAATGCCTATCCAGCTGTCTTGTGTGCAACACAATAGCATCTCTCATTCCACAGGTGCATAGTCTTTACTCAATGAGCTCATTACCTAAATAACAGTAGAAGATGCCAAGAGAAGCACTTGAATATCAGGCAATGCTGCTGTGTGCCTTTTTTGAGCCTATTACTGTTTTTTATGCAGAGGCTTAGTGGGTAAATGCTCCACTGAGCTTCCCCATGTACACATGATGTCAGATACCATCCTGTCTGTGATCCAATGACATTAAAATATAATTGAAGTGAGGAGATGCTTGTCGAGATCCATTGCTGCCATGTCAGTTAAGTTTCCACTACTTTATTTTTGAATTCCCAATGACTGAAAACGTATTGGAGGATATAATAATAATATTGCTTGCTACTAGGTCAAAGTTAGCAAGCCAGCTTGATGGCTGGGATTGTCAGGGTAAGCTTCTCCAGTGCCAGAAAATAGCCTGAATGAAGCTTAACACCCTTTTCAAGTGAATGTGAGTATGGGATGTGCAGAGTAACAGACCACTGATGAGACATTAAGTGAATGCATCACTGATCTGTTCTGCCATTAGTGCAGATTATTCATAATGCTCTTACATTATAAATGAGAAGTCTACTTTATTGGGATCTTAATGGAAGCTAACCCTTTTCTACCAATTTCATTTGCTCAGGGGTCAAAACACATTCAAATGCTTTATGTTCTGGAACTGGATTAACCCTTTTTCGATCACAAGCCTAGAACTATGATTAAACAAATAGCAACTGCATTTCTATCTATTTCCATTTGTGCACCTGAATAAAAGGGCTACTACAGTGCATCTTAAAATATATGGGACTGTAATTTGAGTGGAACATAATTATATTGAAAGGTCCAATTTTTCATTTTGTTGAGTTATTACACTTCAGGAAATTCCCCGTAGAAGACTCACAAAGATTACTGGTTCTGCATGGGAGAAGCGTTTGAATTCAAGAATAACAACAAAATTTGCAATTATATAGGGCCCTTCAAGCTGGGTAGTATCTTGGAGTACTTCACAGTGGTGAAACCAAACGCCAAACCAGGGGGAGGGAGAAGATGACCATAAGCACCATAAGTCAAACAGGAAGGTCTTCAGGCATGATCCGGAAAAGGGAAGGAGGGGGCAAGGTGGAGGGATTGAGGGAGACAGTTCCAAAGTTTCAGGGTGTAGTGGCTAAAACCGTGGTCGCTGATGGTGGAGCAGAGGGGGACGGGGGATTCCTGTTTTTTTTCAGATGGGTCCTTTTCTAACTGACTATAGCAGAGAGTGTGACTAAATATCTATATGCGTAGAAAATAAATTGGGATTAGGGTTAGGGTTCCAGTGCCAGAAAGAGCTCAGCAAGAGTGTAAACTGGGCAGAACAACACAGATCAGGGTGGGGGCGGGGGGCAGAAATTACACCTGGGTCTTGTATTGTACAGTATTGTATTGTACAGTATTGTAGCATATTTTAGCTGATCAGAGGGAGCAGAATTTAGCAAGTTGTTGAGCTCGACATTACCATAAAGCTGTTTTCTACAGGGTTTTGAAGCCCTATAGAATATTAGCTTTGTTTTAAGACTCCATTTCAGAATTTGCCAGATTCTGTTCTCTATTAAATGGTTTTTAAAATACAGTGTAGGAATATAGGAAAACAGGAACAGATGAGGCCACCCAGCCCTCAAGGCTGTTCCGCTGCTGTATTAAAACTTGGCAGATCTTTTAATCTCCCCTTTCAGTCCTGAGACCTTTCCCTTCCTTCCCCATCTTCAGATAATGCCTGAATTCCTTCCTCTTTGCCGTGCCTACAATCATCTCCCCCCTCCCCCCGGCTTGGCATCGTGCTCCACCACTGTCAAGCACTTTGGTACGCTACTTTGTGTGAGGGGCGCAAAACAAATGCAAGTTGTTGTTGTTGTTGTTTTTGAGATAAAATGACTCAGAGTGGATCTCATAGAGGTGTACAGAATTTTAAATGGGATTGAAAAAGTAAACCCAGACCAACTTTAGGACATATCTATCATGATGGTAGTGCAAGAGGACTGGAAAGGGCAATTGCAGGACAGATACCAGGAAGGTTTTCTTTCAGAGGGTAATCAATGACTAAAACAGGTTGTCAAGAGAAAGGTGGCAGAGGCCAGGACACTGTATTCATTTAAAAAGCAGCTTGATTCTGTGATGAGGGGAATGGTAGGCTGATATTCTGGTGGTATCAGATGGGCTGAAGGGCCTTCTTAAGGTAGATCAATCCTGCCATCTCTTTCATCCTCTTTTATTGCTTCACTACCCAAATATCTTGTTCCAGAGGAATTTCTCGCCCCTACTGGAACTTTAACTGTGGTGTTTCCAGTCCTTGCGGTTCCATTTCCCTTCACAGTGTAGCTTAACCAACTAACACGGAATCTCTGATTTTTAAAAACAAATATATTAAATTATTTTGCTTTGTGTATTTGGAGGGGAAATATTGCTTGCAGATATGTGGAAACTGCTTCTGAGAAGGCAAAATGAATTGCACGATTATCTAAAGTCATTTGAAAGATTTGGCAGGTACAGGTACACTCTCAGGTTTATAGTTTAATTCCAGGCTGGGAGTTAAAATGTGATGTGAGAGCCCCAGAGTGGCCTTATTGGATGCAGAGTATTTGTGGACTTAATTGATTCAATTGATCTAGACATTTGATAGTTCTAATAGTATTGGCCTTCAGTGCAGATACTAGGATCTAAAGCTGTTTGTAGAGTCAGGCTATCCTACAGCACAACTAAAAAGCCCCATTGTGCCATCAATGGCTGCTGGCAAAAACATCCACGATGTACATAGTGTTTTATCGAGGGAATGCCGTGAGTGTTACGTTATTGTGGGACTTTGACTTTGGTTCGGCCTGAGGTCTTATAAATAATAATAATAATCCTTGAATTTGATATAGCGCTTTCCACGTCGGGAGGACGTCCCAAAGCGCTTCACAGAAGACACTGTAAAGTGAATTGACTGTATATTTGTGGGCAAACGCGGCAGCCAATTGCGCACAGCAATGTCCCACAAACAGTCATAGATTGAAAATGACCAATTTATTATTGTTTTTGTTTTTTGGAGGGATTATTATTAGGCGTGTGGAGCAAGG